ATATAAATAAAAAAACATATATATATGTTCATAACGCGAAAACTGAGCTGGTAGTAGTGACTTACCTGACTTCCACAACTGTTGACCAGTCAGTCACAAATTCGAGGTTCGCTTGCTACGAGCGCGTTAAGACAATGATGGTAATATGAACGAAGGCGCAGTTACCGATCTGGAAAACATTTACGATTACCAACGTTACAATAAATAAATTGAGAATTTTTTTTTATTAATTTCATTGTATTCATGCTTTCCCTATGCACCCATCAGCACCGAAGCAACTTCAGATGCCTCGGCGCTTACGCGCGTCGAGGCCAGCTCCGCTTGCCCTCGTCGTTGCTCAACGTTTCTTTATTATATTCACCGTCAGCTGTGTGGCATGAAGTACAATCGATACGCTGTCACAAAGCTATACATGTTGCAGCACTCCTGGGGTACCCACAGGATCATCGTCTATGTCACCTCTACGAACAATCTTGACGGTTGCTGTTTTTTTTTGTTTTTTTTTTGTACAGATTATGTTTCGTCAGGTCAACTTCATTGTTTTCCTCTAACAAATGCTCACACACTGCACTAAATATCTATAGTTTCCTCGAACGCTGTCCGCTACCCACATATTCGTATTAGTCAGACTTTTGTTTCGCCAGTTTTCCTGGTGAAAGTTCCTACATTGCGAGGTACTCAGCTAGCAGATGCACTTCCGGGGGGCTTCCGAATGAGGGTATTTGGAGACATTCGACGCATCATCGAGTTTGAGGCAGGGAAATGCACATAATAAAACGAAAAATCAATCAAAATTATGTGTTCACACACAGAATATCCGTCACAATGAAAACTCAACGTTGCTAAGCAGCAGTAATGAGGTATTCGTTTATGTGTCCAGCTTGGGGACCCTTACGACGATCTGTATGCCACACCCCTATACCGAATATAGTCGACTCTTCGTTGTTGTATCCTGTGAACGCAGCCAACGGACTCGCATCTCCACTTGCAAAACGATTTGTCTTTCTTATGGATATGCTTAATTTAGTGGTATAAGGCAATCTTTCCAACGCCGGAACCCTTCCTAATCACAGAAGTTCGAAAAGTAGCAGTTGTGTATCGTAATTGGTTTCGCCTATAAGTTATGGCTAGCAACTTTGTTAGCAGCGAACTTGTTAGATCAGTAGCGACAGTAATAACACAATTTCTAACGAAAAAATCTTCGTTCCTAATCCACATCGAGAGCCAACTTGTCTGGTATATTCAGTATTTCTACCGACTGCCAATTTCCCTGCTCGGTGTTTAGTTCAAGGGAGCTTTTAATGATATACTCAAACTTGCCTTTCGCGTGCGGTCATTTCGGCAATCATGCGGTTTCCCCGACGTAATCAGGTGAGCTCGGTACACAACTTCAAAAAAAATATTGTATTTATTTCGTTGTGTGCTGAAGTACGATGTCGCATTGAAGAAGATAGGTTATCGGTTCTTCATGATCTGTTGCTGTCTGTGCACGTTCAGCCAGCTAAGCAGTCACCGTTGGTTCACAAATATTCAGTTAATTGGGCTACCGAAAAGCTGATAGGCCGGAAGCACTTCCATCATTCTGTCGATGTAACGCTGGAGGCCGAAATTGCCTTTACCTCTACAAAGTTGGAACTTCATTTAAGCCAAGTGTTGCGTCACCGGGTGCCGGCGACGGACACCAGACCATTATGAGCCTTTTTGTCACATGCTTGAGAACAGCTATACAATCTGATTAACGTTCTTTGTTTGTGCATAGATCAGTTCACGGTGATAACCTTTAAACAATGACAACGGCTTGACAAGTGCATTGAACAACGCCATCTCCCGATAAACGGACGGTCTCCTCGGCGAGCCTCGCGTCGTATTTCCGGTGTTTCGAAGTAGCTGGCCTTGGTAGTTGAAGCGAATGCTTTGCTTTAACACAAGATCGTGAATTTGCTATTTACATATCTGATATGAATCATAAGCGCGCAACGTACCTTCGTCTAATCTTCTTCGAAGTGTAAATTTGTGCATTTATTCAGTGCCGGTGCTGCTGCTATGGCTGCTAAAGTGAAGATGAAACTTTCATGGTTTGCCATACCACTTTAATGCCATTGTATGATCGAAGCCTCGTTGCGAGCGAACAGTTCACGCTCGATGGGTTGGTATTATTGCGATGGCCTCTACTTCCGCATCTATCGGTTAGCTCGCTGATGCCCCCGCGGTTGCCCACACATGATTCGACACCTGGGATAGTGCCGTTGAGGGCGGGGCGGATAGTGAAATGCTAAGCAGCAAGAAACAACTAAGGTCGCGTAGGTTCTTATCGTGGCAAAGTCAGCCGAAAAGTGGACCAGCTTAGCCGAATTTCACCGAAATAGCCGAAGCCAAGCGATAGTACGGCAAAAGCAGTTGCCGCTATTGTAGAATAAAACTACTGAGCGATCGTGGAGAGCTAGTATTCATGTAACGACCCATCTAAATCGAACGCATCAATTACCACTCGTGTTCCGTATCAACCCGCTGCCGACGAAAGCGACACGCTGGAAACCGCAACGCTGTCTGGGATACAGACCACCGGTGTCTCTCATAAGCTGTGTTTTTCACCTGCTTCTGATTTATTCGGATTCGCAAATAGATGGCGCACAATTCACTGTAAACAATGACGTGAAGAGCGTGCGAAACGTACTGCGCACTATCGTCTCATCATTACTTCTGCTACTCTTTATTTGTAGCTTTATGTTTGCGCATCATTGTCGCCGCCGCCGCCGCCGCCACCGCCGCCGCCGCCGCCGCCGCCGCCGCCGCCATTGTCATCGCTGTTTGCGGCGAGGTGACCGTTATGATTGAATGTAGACAAGAAACCACGAGCAACGCAGTAAAAATTACCTTTAATAAAATGAGATTTATCGGTTTTCATAGTCGTACATGTGTTTTTCGTCTAGTCATATTCGTCATCTTGATTTACTTGGGGTTTATGCACATTAAACTTGTCCCCATATTGATACTTGTCGTCGTTTGTTCAGAACATAATCGCTGACTGTGTTTGCAACTTATTTCCAGCTATCTGTAGGAATTCTATTGGAGCACGACGCAGGGATTACGCAGTTCAGGAGGAGAAGGACGCTATTTCGTTTCGAACACGAGAAACAAATAGCCATAAAGCCAATTTATAAAGGTATCGAGGAACAGGGATACGCTTAGCTAACGGCTCTTAATAGAGCTAGTTCATGTCTCCACACTTAACGGCTTAAGTACCGAAGGTGAAACTTAAGGATCAATCATTTGATTAATCTTAGATATCGTGACGTTGTAGTACACGGCGTCACGGAAGGAACGACAGTTCTTCATGACGCTTATTTACGTATTGAATAGTATCTGGGAAGTCAGATGTCGTCTGTGCTATAAAACGTTGTTGGCCATTATTCATATTTAACTATTGACAATAGCTATGCATAGGGATTCAACTTCAGAAACCAGATAGTAAACTATCTGCAATTTAGCGCATTAACCTATAAGCTATAAGGAAAGGGGGTTCCGTGCAAAGAAGCCAAAGCCAAGGAAGAAATAATTTGGCCTTGGCGTTAAGAGTCCCACACGTTGAAAATAGAGTTAAAACTACCGTTGCAAAAATATGGCCGAAGTCTGCTTGCATACGGACACCCGCTTTCCATAGATTAGGCCATAGGCAAACTTAAATTTTAACCAACATGCTACGGATTCCGCTTACATATTTTCCAAGAGTATTGAGGGCCATAAGACCATTGCCGCCACAAAAAGGCCTGTTGCCATTTTTGATGTTCACAAAACCATATTTGCTTTAATTTAATCCTCTGTGAATCAATAAACAGTACAGACAATTGAACTCAAATGAATTTAAAAAAAGACTAAACTCTGTAGGCATTCAGAGAAGTAGTAGAACAATCTTAAAAGCGGGCAAATTTGTGGGATTCAAATCAGGAATATCTACGGCGAATACTCCAACTGAAATTTAGTGTTCCTGGAACATATTTACATCAAGTCACAGGGTGAACTCTCAATTAAGAAACTTCGTACAAATATGCCCTTTCTCAAAATGCTAGGCCAAAGAGCTATCGATAAGCTAGAACAATGAAAAGGCAATCAGCCCCTCCGTTAAAGCCCTTGTTTTGGTGAGCTTGCTTTGAAGATCTTCGTTTGTTTTGGTACAAACACATTCAACAGACAAACTAATTATCCCTACTGTGTGCCAGCAGGTGTGAAAAGCCAGGTATATTGAAAGCAACGACCAGCAAACAAAGCATCTACCTAACAGGCAGGTGGCGGACTAGCAAAGTGACCGTAAGATTTGAGCTGTTGAAAACCTGGCAGATGATATTATATATAATATTTTCATATTACTAAAATATAACAATTGCGAAAAACCCAGGAAAGATAGGCTATCGTGTAACACCGTGGCAAAATGACCCGGGTCACCATGACACTGATCTCTAACTACGAACTACTATCTATTTTTGAACCTGCCGCGTATATACTACGGCAGCAAACACGGCCCTCTCCACAGAGAGCGAAATCTATCTCTCGTTTTGAGTGCTGGAATAAAGATTTCTGCAAAGATTCGCGGACAAGATCGAAACACGATGTACATATATACGTCGCAATAAATGTTACGAGCTACATCTTTGGAATTACGTTACCGACGTGGAACAAAGTTTTACTTCGACAAAGTATTAACATCGCCTGCCTTTCCTCTCTGGCTAACGTCTAACTCGAGCGCTGCGTTATAGACTCCGTATAATTACATGTATATCTGTACACAGGGGCCGCATGAGTGGCGCTAGTCATATAATACTTCGCTTCTTTAATCGAATCCGGATTTCTGCGCACCCGGAGCAGTATGTCTGCATATGTTTTTCCACCAAGAAATGTCAATCTTTGCGTACAGACGGATTCGTTCACCTTTACAACGTTAACTAGACATACGTCTTCATCGAAGCCAGCCTATACGTCATTAGGGTAAAACTGCCACGAATCCCTTGATGATAATGGCAATGGATCATTGTGCTCTGTATACTAAGTGTATATTCGGCTGTAGTTCAGGCGCGCGTACGCATTAGGCTCCTGTGTTCTTTGCTATAGTTGATATACTAATACGCATTTGTACGTCGATAGGACAAGAACAACCGTACAACCATATTAGATGAATGATAATTCAATTGTAAGAATGATAACACACGACGCTGCGGTGATGAAAGTGACATGGCCGTCGTCTGTGCCGAATCTGTGCTATTTTTTTAATGCGTGCAGTACGCTATAATTATCACGATGATATATCGGTACGTGCTGCTATCATTCGTGCTACTAGCAAACGACGTAGAGTGGCTGGAAGCTTACAATGCTCTAGAGGATAATTTTCAATCTTCTGGCCATTTCAATACATTTTATTATTACGGAGTTCTTCTCCTTTCTTAAGGGGGTCATGTTAAAAATTTTTATTAGAATCATTATTATCATGTACAATAAATGGCTGTTGGTTCATCAGTCGGGCTGCTGAAAGTCTCAAACAGATGCGGTGGCATTTGTATGAATCTTAATATATATACACCAGAAACTATGTTCAAGGAGCTTGGGCCAAAAAAACGTAAGCTGTTTTAGTGATTATTTGATATCCCCGTGGGAAAAAGTCAAGAAAGAACGGATTATAAATATAGCTTAGATTAGATATATATAACGACGAACCCTGTGCGACTAGAATAACGCAAGTCAGTTAGATCCGTAATCTTCCAATGGTCTGATAGCTTTATTTAATCGACAGGGTTACTAGCCTACTAACCTGCAGTCGGCAATCGTAGCACGACGTTAGCTATTACCGGCCTGAAAGCAAGCGTCAATTACTAAAGCCCGTTCAGACTGGGAATTCAAGTTCATGTCTGGGAAAGGGCGGCGGGACGCTCGCAGATGCTATATTCTATTTCATATTTTACATCGGCCTTATCAGCAGGGACCAAACGAAGGCGACAACGAATACGAAAACAAGATTCTGCCTTTTACCTATATTAAGCTGTCTGTATCGTTTACGGCTAGTGCTCACAATTTGACGGTCCGTTTGACAGCTGCGTACGCAATAGTTACGAGCCACCGATATCATCGCGGTAGTCTCATCTGTGTAAGCACACGATACAGGCGAGTAAATCTAGTATGGTACGCGTTGACGGGTCTATTTATGGGCTAAGATGGCTTATCAATGATGTTGGTATAGATACGAGTCTGATTGTAAAGATGTGGTTTTAGAAAGGAAATTGCAAAGAAGATCGTTAATCGGTCTGATTTTTTTGTGCAGTTCCCGAAAACTGGGCTAACCGGACGATGTGACCCATTGGCGCACGAATTCTGAATTGTAGAGAGTGATTTCCATAAACACCCTTGCCCAGAAGCAGGTCACGTTCAGGGAAAGCACTCTTCGGAAATACAGAGACAAAGTTTGCGTTACGGCAAACGAGTCGCCACTTTATAACCCGTCGCTTAGTTGAAAACACTCTATGGGAAAACAAACATTTTTTTGCTAAGCTCAACTTAAACAAAGATAAAATCCACGTAATTTCGAAGTATTTCAAGCTCACATCGATCGTCACCGAATTACATTATGCTTGGGTACTAATAGGAGACACTTACGAGAACATGAATACAGACGTTTCGGTGTTGGTGTGGATGAAAGCATGATTACGTTTTGGCGATCTCAAAGCAACCTAGGAACTTTTTGTTTCCAAGGTTGGAAGTGTCGGTGATCCGCCAACGAAGGC